TCCAGCAATTCCAGCTCTAGAAGTCTACCCTGCAGAAACATTTCCACACGTACACAGAAATGTATGTACATGGATGGTCATTGCAGCACGTTTCCTCCGACTAGGATGAAAGCTTCATGAGAGTGGAAGCCTGGTCATTCACTCCTGTATCTCCAGTAGCTAGATCATTGCCTGGCACATATTAAGTACTCAGCAAATATTTGCTGAACGAATGAATGAAACTGAAAAAATTGGAAACAAATTCATTTTGATCCATAGGAAAAAGGATAAATAAATGTTATATCTACCCCATGGAATACTATGAGCAGTTAAAAAGAATGAGATAGATCTAAATATACTGAGATAAAAAAGATCTCCAAGGCCAATTGTTAAGTTAAAAAAAGAATAACAGTGAAAAATTGGAGGACCCATTTACTGAATTGTTATTTAAATAAATAATCTAATACTTGTTGTTGTTTGCTGTTGAGTCAGTTCTGTCCCACAGGGTTTCCTAGCTATAATCTTTACAGGAGCAGATCATCAGGTCTTTTCTCCCGCTGAGCTGCTGGTGGATTGAACCACCAACCTTTCAATCAGCAGCTGAGTGCTTAAGCATTGTGCCACCAGGGCTCTTTAATCTAGTACTAGGCATCCATTTTAACATGTTGGCATTGATCTATAAAAATTATTCCAGAAAGTTGTCTGTGATCTTGTATTTCCCAAAAAAATTAACATGATTGAGTACACATAGGCAGTCCCTGACTTACAACCTATTCCAGTTACGGCAAACCACACTTACGACAGTCATTGTATCTGGTACGGTACCTTCTGTTTTCCTGGGAGGAAGATACGGGAAAATGCATGCAGGGGATATGGAAAAATATTGCTGAGTTATGTGAACACCCCAAGTATTTAATCAAGATAATGTGATGGAAGAGACCAGTGGAAAAACTGTCCATATGGCAAGAATGCTGAATTTAGAATTTGATATCGCAGATGTGGAACAGCTCGTAGATCACAAAGAAGGGGGACTGGTAGATTAGGACTTTGTGGATTTTGAAGAGGAAAGAAATAATGAAGAGGAAGGAAAGAAGTTGTCAAAACAATTTACAGTGAAAAGATTAGCTGGATGTTAACCATTGTCATAGGGCAGCATTTGTAGTAACCATTAAATGAGAAACTATTTTGTTCTGTAAGCCTTCATCTTATGTGAGAATAACAGCACAATTGGAAGACATAGTCAATGTCACTGAACTGTGTATGTAGGAATTTTTGAAACAGTGTGTCTTTGGCTATGTGTATTTTCACCAAAAAAAAAAAAAAAAAAGGTTGAGAATTTAGAGGGTTAATATGTTGTGGGGTTGTTAACCAATGTCATAAAACAACATGTGTACTACTGTTTCATGAGAAACTATTTGTTCTGTAAGCCTTCACCTGAAGTACAATAAAAAAAAAAATTAGAAAACACAGATAAACAGAAAAAAAAAAAAAAAGATTAGCTGGAGTTTTTTCTAAACTAAATCAGGGGTTTCAGTTGCTTGAAAATAGGGATCCAAACACTAATCGCTCTGCTAAAGTCAATAGGCAGATTCAGGAAGCAGTGAGATGTTTCTGCAAAATATATGAAAGAAAAAAGAAAAGGACCATACAGACAATTCTCACTTATTTTCTGACTAGAAACACCATCTCAATTCCCAGGGATAATCCAAATGATCCAGAACCTTCCACAAGTGGAGTTATTACCACAACTGACAAAATGCCAATGTCGTCCAACTCTTCTTCATCGGAGTAAATTTTTATGATTTGTGTATTTTTTTATGTATGTATGCATTAAAATATATCTGTAAGTTTATATGTAATGTTTCCAACACCCAAAGACAAAGATCAGATTTATACATACACTGATAATAAAAGGCAGTAATAATGAAAACTAAAAAAAAAAAAGAATGATGTATTCAACTTAAATCAGAACAAAGTTATGACGGAGCTGTCGGAATGGAGCCCTGTGGTAAGTCAGGGACTACCTATACTATATGACAGTACTATATTACTATGTGGAACCCTGGTGGTGTAGTGGTTGAGAGCTTGGCTAATAACCAAAAGGTCATCAGTTCGAATCTACCAGCAGCTCCTTGGAAACCCTACAGGACAGTTCTACTCTGTCCTACAGGGTCACTATGAGTTGGAATTGAAGTGACGGCAATGGGTTTTATATAACTATACGGAGTTATAATCCTCATATTAACTCCATGCGATAAGTACTATCATGAATGCCTCCATTTTACAGTTGAGAACACCAGGGCACAGAGAAATCGAGTAACTTGCCCAAGGTCACACTGTAAGTGATAGAGCCAAGATTTAAACTCAAGCAGTGTGACTTCAGACTTCATGTCCTTAAATCGCCCATGGGTAGGGTTACCATAAAGTTGTGGTTTAAGCCTGTGAACTCAGCATGATTTTTAATAGCATCTCCTTTCATTCTCAAATGTCTCCAGACATAGTCCATGGTTACTCTACCTATAGAACATACATAGGCTGTAGAGTATAGTGGCTAAGACTTCAGTCTCTGGAGCCAAATTTTGGGCATTTACTCAAACTCTCTACTTCAGTTTGTTCATCTATAAAACGGAGATAATAATAGTAACTACCTTAAATAGTTGTTAAAGGACTACATGATTTCATATTTTTTAAGTGCCTAGCACACAGTAAACACCGTATTACTATCAGTCTGCACATATGCATGCACCAGAGCTCGTGTGTGTGTGTGTGTATGTGTATACAAGCATTGTGAGATGTCTGGAAGAATGTTCGCCATAATATCAGGGCAGGGGGGACCATTGCTATCAAGTCTATTCCAACCCATAGTGACCCTATAGCAACACTACAGGGCAGAGTAGAACTGCCCCATAGGGTTTCCAAGGCTATAATCTTTATGGAAGCAGACTGCCACATCTTTCTCCCATGGAGTGGCTGGTGGGTTCCAACTGCCTACTTTTCGTTTAGCAGCTGAGTGCTTAACCAATGCACCAAGAGGAATAAATAGGAGTCCCTGTGTGGCACAAACAGTTGAGCACCCAGCTTCTAACTGAAAGATTAGTGGTTCAAACCACCCAGAGGCACCTCAGAAGAAAGGCCTGGTGATCTGCTTCTAAAAGGTCATAACCACAGGAAAAACTCTATCACGCACAGTTCTACTCTGCAACACATGGGGTCACCATGAGTCAGAACTGACTAGACAGCAACTGGTTTGATTTTGGTTATCATGCTAATATTTTGTTGAAAAATATTTATCTATCTATTCTAAACCAAAAAACAAAGTCATTGCCGTCAAGTTGATTCCAATTCACAGCGACCCTACAGAGCCAAGCTCTTAACCACTGCGCCACCCAGGGCTCTGCTGCTTTACATACAGCTTCAAAATGAGGCAAAACTAATTCCTGGAAATAGAAGTCAAAATAGCAGTTTCCTTTGGGAAAGAAATGGAGCCCTGGTGGTGCAGCAGTTAAGAGTTCAGATGCCAACCAAAAGATCGGCAGTTCAAATCCACTAGCTGCTCCTTGGAAACCCTAGGGGACAGTTCTACTCTGTCCTATAGGGTTGCTATGAGTCAGAATCCACTCAACAGCAATGGGTTTGGGATTTGGGGAAAGAAAGGTCCCCGGGTAGCACAAACAGTTTTCAGTGTACTACTAACCTAAAAGTTGACGGTCTGAACCCACTCATTGGTGTGGAAGAAAGGCCTATCTGCTTTTGTTAAAGATTGCTGTTAGTTGCGGTGAGATCCTAGCTCATGGCGACCTCACGTGTGTGGAGTAGAATTACTCCATAGGGTTTTCAAGGCTGTGACCTTCCTGAAGCTGAATGCCAGGCCTATCTTTCTAGGTGCCTCTGGATGGGTTCCAACAGCCAATCTTTCAGCTAGTAGTCCAGCACTTAACCATTACAGCCAAGAAAACCCTATGGAGTGCAGTTTGACTCTGTAACACATACGGTCACCATAAAAGTCTGAATGACCCTTTGGCAACTTTTTTGGGGGGTAGAGGGGGGATTAGTAGCTGGGAAAGGGCACAAGGAAACTTCTGGAAAGGCTCCATAAATTGATCTGGGTGGTGTTTCTAATGGTCTAAAAAATAAAAATAAATTAAAAAAAAAACCCAAACCCACAGCCATTCAGTGGACTGCAGCTCATAGCAACCCTATAGGTCAAAGCAGAACTGTCCCACAGGCTTTCCAAGGCTGCAAATCTTTACCGAAGCAGACTGCCACAACTTTTCCGGGGTTGGTGAGTTCCAGTTGCTCGATTAGCAGCCCAGCACTTTAACTGCTGCACCACCAGGGATCCTCTTCTAACCATCTATACAAATGTAAACATTCAGCTAGCTGATGCATCTAACGGTACAAGTTATATCTTAATTTTTTTTAGTTTTTTGTTTGTTTTTAATTAGTTCTCTGGTCACGTGCATTCCAAGGAGCGAGAGAAGAATGGGGTGCTGTTTTATATTAATAAATAAAACTAATCTCGGTGGCGGCGCCCTTCTGACTTCCTCCTCCCCCCACCTCAGGTGTCATCTGTAACAGTAGGGCACTTCCCCGGCAGAGAGCGCAAACGGAGACCCTATGCAAAGAAGCAACTGCAGTGCAAACGTTCGCGCCGCGGGACTGTGGGCGCGGAGGGCAGGCTACGCCCAGGACGCGGCCGGGCTCCGGGCACCTGACCCAAGAGGCGGGCACCTCTGCCAAGCGGCCACCAGCTGAATTAGCCAGGCCAGCGAGCAGCGCCCTCTCGGAGGGCACGATAGGTGCCAACGCCAGCCGCCCTTGCATCTTGTGCGCGGAATCGTAAGTCTGGGGCTCCCCACCCAGGCCGGCTTCCATCCGGCCCTCAGCTGACCCCAAACATGATGCTTTGTTTTCGGCAGTCGAGCCGGCTGTCCTGTGCAAGGTGCCTAGTTGTGTCCAGCTGTGCCCAGCCGCGCGGGATGCCCAGCCGCGCGCGGTGCCCAACCGTGCGCCCCACTCACCTCAGCTCTGGATGGATTATCTGCGTGTAGGTGAAGCACCGCCCCAGGAAGATCTCAGATATGTGGGCCGTGGTGCCCGCCCCCTCCCATTGCTTGTGCCCCGACGGCTGGAGCCACCGCCGTATTCCAGCCGTTACAGCGGCCCCGAGGACAAGGACGCCGAGGCCGATCAGGACGCAGCAGCACACCCGCCGGCCCCTGCTGGAGGAGCTCCACGGGGCCATGGGGCCTAACGCGGGGTCGGGAGGGCGAAGGCAGCGGAGGGCCAGCCAGAGGCTGGGCAGTAAGAGGTTCTGTAACTGCACCTCCCCTGTCTCTTTCACTTGCCTTTTCTCTGCCTCCCCTCCCACCTCAACCCCCTCCTTCAAAGTGCTCTGGCCAAATGGACCAATAAAGAGTTTACAGAATTTAAAAGACTTCAACAACGACTACCTCTCCCAGCCCCCTTCCAGTCTCCGGAACAAACAGACCCAGACTCTATCTCCAGGGAGCAACAGCCACCCTCTCATTGACATCAAGTCCATTCCAACTCATTGCGACCATATAAGACAGTAGAACTGTCCCATAGGGTTCCCAAGGCTGCAATCTTTACGGAAGCAGACTGCCACATCTTTCTCCCGGAAAGCAGCCAGGGGTTCAAATCGCCAACCTTTAGGTTGGCAGCCCAGCCCTTAACCACTATGACACCAGAGCTCCTTACAACCACCTTAACTCTCTGTAAACGAGTAATCTTTGCACCCTGAGCCAACTCCCTCTGCAACCTTGCACTTTACTACACTTTAGCCAAACTGACCTATGCCTGCACCCTGGAAAGTGGCAGCTTTGTACAGGCTGTGCAATGAGTGAATGGATGAATGAAGGACCAGAATTTCATTTCTGGCACCTACTTGTTAGTTGTTGATTCGGCCCCATTCATAGTGACCCCATGAGTGACAGAGTAACTACTCCATAGAGTTTTCCTGGCTGCAATCTTTACGAAAGCAATTCACCAGATCTTCCATGACCTCTGGGTGGATTCCAACCACCAACCTTTAGGTTAGCAGCGGATACTACCCAGGCTCCTCACCCTTTCTGAAAAATGGAGAACTGGATTCATGGGATTAGTCTTGAAATCCCAGATTTAAACTAAATAATATAGAAATGGAATGAGAAAAGTTGGTTTTGCCTCCTGGTTCATTTCCGGAAACTCTGACCTTGATATTCTCTGCCTTCCTCCCTCGACTTGTGGTCAGTCCTGGACAGGACTTTCTTTGTTTCATGTTGTTTATTGTACAAGGTTCAAAATCAGTTACTATGTGACTCAGAAGGCTTGCCACCTGTCCTTTATTGAACCTAACAGTCTGGTATTAGAGCTTTCTGGCTAGTAAAATGAAACATTTCGGATCTGTCACAAAAAAACAACTCCTTTAAAAATTGTACCTGTTTTTGATAAACCAGTTGTAGTTGAGTCAATTCCAACTTATAGCAACCCTATAGGTCACAGAACAAAGTGATATACCATAGAAAATCATTCTTTATCCTATCATGCACTCCCCTCTTACCAAATTAATCCGTAGGCTGCATGTATATATACAGGTACAGAGAGAGAAGCCTTAGTTGTTTCATAAAAGTTATAGCATATTGCGTATTATGTTTTGTACCTGGCTTTCTTCAAATAGTGATATATTTTAAAGACACACAAACCGAAACCCAAACCCATTGCGGTCAAGTCAACGACAACTAACAACAATACTTTACCAAAGAAAAATGTCGATTCCAACTCATGGTGACCCCATGTGTTACAAAGGTTTTTTTGGCTGTAATCTTTATGGAAGCAGATTGCCAGGCTTTTCTTCTGCCACACTGCTGGGTGGGTTCAAACAGCCAACTTTGGGTAAGTAGTTGACCACAAATCATTTACACCACCTACGGACCTTTTGGAGCCCTGGTGGTGCAGTGGTTAAGAGCTTGGCTGCTAACCAAAATGTCATGGTTTGAATTATGTCCCCCCAAAAATGTGTGTATCAATTTGGCTAGGCCATGATTCCCAGGAATTGTGTGGTTGGCCTCCATTTCGTGATTGTAATTTTATGTTAAAGAGGATTAGGGTGGGATTGTAACACCACCTTTACCCAGGTCACATCCCTGATCCAATGTAAAGGGAGTTTCCCTGGGGTGTGGCCTGCACCACCTTTTATCTCTCAAGAGATAAAAGGAAAGGGAAGCAAGCAGAGAGTTGGGGACCTCATACCATCAAGAAAGCAGTGCCGGGAGCAGAGCGCGTCCTTTGGACAGGGGTCCCTGCGCAGAGAAGCTCCTAGTCCGGGGTAACACCGAAGAGAAGAAGGCCGACAGAGAGAAAAAGCCTTTCCCTGGAGCTGACGCCCTGAATTTGGACTTTTATGTTACTTTGACTGTGAGGAAATAAACTTCTCTTCGTTAAAACCATCCACTTGTGGTATTTCTGTTGTAGCAGCACTAGATGACCAAAACACAAAAGGTCAGCAGTTCGATTCCACCAGCTGCTCCTTGAAAACCCTGTGGCGGCAGGTCTACTCTGTCTTATAGGGTCGCTATGAGTCAGAATCGACTGGACAGCAACGGGTTTGTTTTTTGTCGTTGTTGTTGTTTTTAGGATCTTTTAGGAGCCCCGGTGGAGAAGTGGTTAAGCGCTAGGCTGCTAACCTAAATGTTGGTGGTTGGCACCCAGCAGCCGCTCCACAAGAGAAAGATGCAGCAGTCTGCTTCTGTAAAGATATACAGCCTTGGAAACTCTATGAGGCAGTTGTACTCTGTCCTGTAAGGTCACTGTGAGTCAGAATCGACTCAGTGACAACAGATTTGGTTTTTTGGTTAGGGACATTTTAAAGACAAATAATTAGCACCTGTTGCTCTACCTAATTCTTGTCAATGCCTCCCTAGCATTCCGTCATATAGGTATACCATCATTTATTTAACCAGGCCCATATTGACAGGCACTTAGGTTTTCTACTGTCTTGTTTCTACATTAAATTCGTGTGTCAACATATTTGTTCACATGTCCAAGTACATTCCTAAAAGTAGATGTTATGGATTGAATTGCATTCCCCCAAAATGTGTTTCAACTTGGCTAGGCCATGATTCCCGGTATTGTGTAGTTGTCCTCCATTCTGTGATCTGATAATCATATGTGTTAGAAAGTCTAACCTCTATGATGTTAATGGGAGCCCTGGTGGAGCAATGGTTAAGAGCTTGGCTGCTAACCAAAAGGTCAGCAGTTGGAATCCACCAGCCACTCCTTGGAAACCTTATGGGGCAGTTCTACTCTGTCCTGTGGGGTCGCTGTGAGTTGGGATTGACTCGATGGCAAGGGGCTTGGGTTTTTGATGAAGTTAAAGAGGCAGTGGGGCAGGACTCAGTTTACAGGATTACGTTCTATCTTGAATCAATCTCTTTTGAGATATAAAAGAGAGAAGCTGCAGAGAGGAGGGGACTTCATTACCACCAAGCAAGAGGAGTCAGGAGTGGAGCATGTCCTTTGGACTCACTCTGAGAAGCCCCTAGACCCAGGGGAAGATTGATGACAAGGAGCTTCCCCTAGAGCTGACACAGAGAGAAAGACTTCTCCTGGGGCTGGTGCCCTGAATTCTGGCTTCTAGCCTCCTAAACTGTTTATTAAAGACATCCACTTGTAGTATTTCTGTTATAGCAGCACTAGATAACTAAGACAGTAGACTTCTCTGATCAAAGGTTAGGAACTTTGAAATTTTTGAAAGTTATTGTCAATCAAAGACATTCTACCAATTGATACTCACACAGTGCATGAGAATGTGGATTTCTCAGCATCCATACAGTTGCAATATCTGATTTGTTTTATTTCAATTTCTGACTACTGCTTAATCAGCTGTGACTTGGGGAACTTTTAGTTCCTCCTTGTGTTAAATGCAACAAACACTTGAGAAAGCAAAACTTACAAAACCCATAGCCATCGAGTTGATTCCAACTCATAGCAACCCTGTAAGGACCCCAAAATGCTTTAATCCTGCTAAGTCATTGGTTTGAGAACACTTTCCCTTTGTATCTTATCTCTCTGCAAGGAAGATGTTGAGCTACAAATGTCAAACATTTGGTGTGGCCTTGGGAAAGACTACAACTGCACAAAAAATTCCCCTCCACCCCCAGCCCCTGCACACCGTATTTTGGCGAAGTGATTTGGGAAAAGTTACTTAGATTTTTTTTTCTTTTAATTTTTTTAAATAGTACTTTAGATGAAGGTTTATGGGACAAATAGTTTCTCATTAAACAGTCAGTACACATATTATTTTATGACATTGGTTAACAACCCCATGACATGTCAACACTCTCTCTTCTCGACCTTGGAGGACTTTTTTGTTGGTGAAAATATACAAAGCCAAAGTTACAACTGCACCATTTCAAAAATTTCTACATGTACAATTCAGTGACATCGATTACATTCTTCTCATTGTTCTGCTATTCTTGCTATCCTTTTCCAAATTATTCCATCACTATTACAACTCACTGCCCCCTAGGCTTCCCATCAAATCTTTGAGTTGCTGTTGTCAATTTGATCTCACATAGATAATTCTTTTTCTTTTTGTACCTTAGATGAAGGTCTGCAGAACAAACAGTATCTCATTAAACAGTTAGTATATGTATTGCCCTATGACAATGGTTAACAACCCTACTACATGTCAGCACTGCCCTTTCTCAACCTTGGGTTCCCTATCACCAACGTTCCTGTCCCATCCTGCCCTCTAGTCCTTGTCCCTGGACTGCTGTGCCTCATTAGTCCCGTTTTGTTTTATACGGCTGTCCAAACCCTGGCTGAATGGTGAACTTCGGGAGGGACTTCACCACTGTCTCAGTCATCTATTGCTGCTCTAACAGAAATACCACAAGTGGATGGCTTTAACAAAGAGAAATTTATTCTCTCACAGTCCAATAGGCTACAAGTCCAAATTTAGCTTTCTCTGTCAGCTCTGGAAGAAGGTCCGTGTCATCAATCTTCCCTTCATCTGGGAACTTCTCTGCGCAGGAACCTCAGGTCCAAAGGACGCGCTCTGCTCCTGGCACTGCTTTCTTGGTGGTGTGAGGTTCCCAACTCTCTGCTTGCTTCCCTTTCCTTTTATCTCTTGAGAGATAAAAGGTGGTGCAGGCCACACCCTAGGGAAACTCCCTTTACACTGGATCAGGGATGTGACTTGAGTAACGGTGGTGTTACAATCCCACCCGAATCCTCTTTAACGTAAAATTACAATCACAAAATAGAGGACAACCACACAACACTGGGAATCATGGCCTAGCCAAATTGATACACACATTTTTGGGGGGACACAATTCAATCCATGACAACCACTGAGCTAAAAGGGTGTCCAGGGGCCATACTCTCAGGGTTTCTCCAGTCTGTCAGGCCAGTAA